TCAAACAATTGACACCTAAATTATCAGGTATTAGTTATTAGAAAACAGACATTTTAGCATTGCCATCAATCGAACCAGTTCACGGTCTAGTCTGTCATACGTTAGCTACTATACCAAAACCCAATCTTCAAGAGACATATTATGTTTATAAATTGATCTCAACATCTCGTGTCATTCTTACGGACTCTACCATCCCACATCCTCCGACTGTGTAATAGATATCCGAGCAATCGAAGACGGAGCATTGAGACTTCTGATGTGATACCTGTTCAATCCAAAACTTCAGTGTCAGTGATCTTTATTTGCCATCTAATGCCAAGCACAGTGATACCTCGGAATTAAAATATAATCCCATACAAGACGACGTACGAATTCCAAGTCGTTCGAGTTGCAAGGCGACTTTTTCCATTGAAAATAATGTTAACTAAATTATTGTGTTCCTGGTTCCAGCAAACTCATTTTTATTAAAAATGCATTTTGTTAAATACAGTACACTGTAAATATAGTCATGTAACAATAATAATAATGTCATATAGTAAATATAATGATTATCCTATCCGAAAACAATCATAATTAAATTTAAAAAAAAAAGATATAAAAACACGGTGTTTACTGTTTAATGATCAAAATGGTGACATGGCACTTAGAAGTACGAGGGGAAGAAATGGATGGGGTGGGGGAGAGGAGAGGGAAAAAGGTTGGGGGTGGGGTAATGAAGGTACTGAAGCTCTCGCATTGTCAGCTCAGTCACGTGATCGGTTTCCAAGGCGGCGTTTGAGTTTCGAGGCAAAATATACTTGCAAATTTTGTTTGAATTCTATATTGTTCGAGTTTTGAAGTTTTCGAATTTCGAGAGACAACTGAAAACCTAGCCATACGTGGAAGAAATTTAGCTATTTTCCTGGTATGAATACGCTGACCCAATTTCACTATCGTAGAGTGCTGAAAACACAAGGGTTTATGTCATGGACACGGGTTTCTTTGCATGTATGTATGTCTGTATACATGTGGTTAAGGATCAGTTTCTCAGCACATCGACATCTACACATGTGCTCCGGATTCTCTTTAAGGGGTCGAATCTGCCCAGAAGTCTGTCATCGTTGTCGCAACAGAGACATTGTGTCTTTCACCATGCCCTAGTGAACATGACTGTATTGTTCAGCTGTTCCTCTTTGCAATTCTGTCGTAGTGGTTGACTGCATTTGTTTGGACTGCACAATACACCTGGCTTTTCTTGTTCATATCTCATTCTGTTTGTCAGGTTCAGTGTTCACTGTCACTTGCAAACTATCTCTTTTATCCACATTTCTGTGGTGCCCTTCCCCCAACTCCCTAGATCCATTCTGTTAATTTTCTTCTTGAGCAACTTAGTTAAAATCAGATGGCAGAAAATCCATGCCACGTTGAGGTACAACGTGTTGGCAGCTACAGTCTGCAACGACCCGGAATCTCCATCATGGTTCGCCTGCTATCGTACAGAATTAGCTTGCAAAAAGTTCTAATGAGACCATGTTCTGCAGCAACACGAAAGCTGAGAAGCCAACGATTGTCCTTGACACATAAGTTGTGTGTGTGTGTGTGTGTGTGTATCTCTCTCTTTCTCTGTCTTTCTGTGTGTGTGTGTTGCGCGCTAGTCTCACGCTCGTTAAATCTTCCTGCCCCTTTGATCAGACTATAATTGTCAAATTATCTCCCCCTTCTAAAATAAATCGTTCACATCCTGAATAAACTGCCTTTTGTCCTGAAGAGTGAAACACATTCGGCACCGTAGTTTACCTACAGCAATAACAGAAGATATGTCTTCATTTCAGAGTGAATCGTTCACGTCGCGAATAAACAGTATCGTGTCATAAATACTGAACATCTTGAGATACAGTAGTTTAACAAGAGCAATAACGGAAGACAGGACACCTGATATAATAAACAGATGGAAAGTGACAAGAATTCCTTTCTTCGTTCATTTAATTTCACCGCTCCGAGCTGCTTCCCGAAAGCTTGACCATCCGGAGATTACAAAATATCAGTCTGGACTGTAAGCCGACGTGGCAAATCCCAGATACCCTGTGGTATCTTCAGTGAAGTTATAATTAGGGTACCTGTGACGCCTACATTAGTCTGACCCTACCTGAAGTACTGTGCGGGTAAGGACACCAGGTGACGACTTAGTGACATGAAGGACACCAGGTGACAACTTAGTGACATGAAGGACACCAGGTGACGACTTAAGTGTCAGGAAGGACACCAGGTGACAACTTAGTGACATGAAGGACACCAGGTGACAACTTAGTGACATGAAGGACACCAGGTGACAACTTAGTGACATGAAGGACACCAGGTGACAACTTAGTGACATGAAGGACACCAGGTGACGACTTAGTGACATGAAGGACACCAGGTGACAACTTAGTGACATGAAGGACACCAGGTGACGACTTAAGTGTCAGGAAGGACACCAGGTGACAACTTAGTGACATGAAGGACACCAGGTGACAACTTAGTGACATGAAGGACACCAGGTGACGACTTAAGTGTCAGGAAGGACACCAGGTGACAACTTAGTGACATGAAGGACACCAGGTGACAACTTAGTGACATGAAGGACACCAGGTGACAACTTAGTGACATGAAGGACACCAGGTGACAACTTAGTGACATGAAGGACACCAGGTGACAACTTAGTGACATGAAGGACACCAGGTGACAACTTAGTGACATGAAGGACACCAGGTGACAACTTAGTGACATGAAGGACACCAGGTGACGACTTAGTGACATGAAGGACACCAGGTGACGACTTAGTGACATGAAGGACACCAGGTGACAACTTAGTGACATGAAGGACACCAGTGACGACTTAGTGACATGAAGGACACCAGGTGACAACTTAGTGACATGAAGGACACCAGGTGACGACTTAAGTGTCAGGAAGGGGGACACAGGACATTTAGGACACCAGGTGGCGGCTAATCGACATGAAGGTGGACACAGGACAGTGAGGACAGCAGCAAATGCCAAGACGGAACAGTTTCAAACCTTACTCCGGCATGTCGTCAACTCGCTTAAGCATGATCTAGGTTAAAGTTCATGGTTTGTCAAACACAACTTGACTTTAATTTGACCGTAACTTGCGTAAGCACAAAGCATGGGGGAATGTCCGTGTATTTGTATATATGGATAAAAACACCAGTATAATAAGGACATGGCAATGCTAGAAACAGTTCAGCTTCAAGTGGCACTGACTCTACAGCCAATAAAAGACTAATAATTTCTTGCTGGGTGGCCTTTAGTCAGGTCGTGGTGCTGACACAGTCTGTTAGATAATAAATAATTTGTTTCTATACACGACCAACTTGTAAACAGGTATTATGAATACCTGACCAAGTGGCGATGCATAAAAAACGAAACATGCTGGTAAAGTACATTCACATATAGTACTTTATTCATTAGATTTGTGTAAATGGGTGTCGCTGCTTTCTGCTGTCAGGGTGTTGGCAACTGGGTGTGAATGAACTCCAGGGAATCCCAAGCGTTGAAATCGACAGGGCATTACTCCTGTATTCAGTATTTCCTGTAAACAGGAATCAACTCTAACTGGTTTTTAGCAATGGTGCTCACCTTGTCTACTCGGACAAACAGATTCGCAATTTGTATAGAACAGACCGATAAAATGAAGGACAGACATAAGTGTAGACAGACAGTGTGAATAACAGACTAAGAGGAAAGAACGGGTAGAAATAACTTATACAGACGGTGTGCAAAACAGACAAAGGACAGAACAGGCAGACATAACTTTATAAAGAGCGCTTAAAAAAATTAAGGTTGACGAAAATGCAACAAGATAGATAATCATACAGATGATAACACAAATTGAAAGCCTTTATGGATGAAGGGAAATAGAAATAGAAGTACAGAATGAACGAAACAGAAGAAATTTATTTCCAATGTATCGCAAATTAAGCTCCCATTCCCGTCTTATATTGAGCCCTTCCAAACACTCACTATTCACACGACACTTGTCCTTTTTCCATTAAGCATTTTATATTTATATGTAAAAATGCATAGTATGAATATTAAATTAAAATATAAAAGTGATGAGCTGAGCTGATTCAAGAACCGACATCACAACACTCGGGGTATTCCCATAAGCGATCTGTCCCCATCTTCAGCAGCCAGTGCTGAGTTCAAATACTAATGGTGCCAGTAGCATTTTGTTTAAACGCCCGCCCCCGCTGCATCAATCACACCAGATTGTGGTGATCCATCTGCTCCTCCGAACTGTACACGCTCTTCCACAAGGCACTAACCACGTCTGCCTTATCATGTATCAGTATTCCCCCAAGTTGTGCAGAGCCAGCCAGGCTGTCCGCCTGTTCATTTCCCAACACACCGGCGGTCCCGGTGAAAAAAATCCAGGGAATACTGCTCACGCGTGTCCTCCGCAGTGAAGCATGCCACTCTGCACGAAGCATACCTGTTCTGATCTTCCTCAGCATGCTTTCTGAATCAGTTACAATTACAAAGTGTGTGTGTGTGTCGTGTTCTCTAGCCAGCAGAAAGCTGCAGTGACCGCCCCCACCTCCATTCTTAAACTGGAAGTTGTGATATCATATGCTAGGCTCTCCTGCACCAAACGTCGACCAATAACTTTTGCTAAGAAACCCAAAGCACTTCTTTTGCCTCTTGACACTGAACCGTCTGTATAAATGATCAAATCCTCTGAGCGAGCAATATCTTGAATTAACTGCTGAATTTCCACCTCCGTGGCACCTGCTGGCCAGTCTCTGCAATATTAAACAATGGGTCACAAATACTTTCTGCTTGCGAAATTAAAACATATCGGAACCTGCTATCATTTTGGGAATCTCTGAAGAGGTTTTATTGGCATAAATTTTGTGAATTCTTCAGACTAATGCCAAAAGTAGAACCATTCATTTGTTTCTATAAAGAGGCAAACCGGTGGCTCAGTGCTGATCACAGTGCAGCAGTACACACAACCGGGGATGTCCTCCTTCGCACAGAAACTCGGTCAGCTAGTCGATTCCACGTGTGTGGGTTTCGCTTTGACTTTGTGCAAAGATGTGGGCATCTTGCAAGTTCTGTTGGACGCCCAGCAACCGTTGACATCCCACCAGATCGCTGACGAGAGAAGCTTGAAGGAGAGGTACAAGTGATCGGTCCTGTCGTCCTTTTGTAGTTATATTAGAAAAGACCTAGATTACACAAAAGCTTTTGATAAACTGAAACATGATGACATGATACAATTCTGTAAGAATAATAACATTGATGGAAAAGATCTAAGAATAATAAAACTATATTTACTAGAAGCAAGAAGCAGCAATTAAATTGGGAAATAAAGTAGGCAGTTAAGAACAGATAAAGCGAGGAATGAAACAAGGTTGTGTCTTGTCACCGGATTTCTTCTCTCTCTACAGTGAAATAATAATGAGGTAGGTCAAGGGTAGACCAGGAGTACTAGTTGGAGGTTATAATATAAACAATCTTCGTACAATCTTCGTTATGAAGATGATACAGTATTAATAGCTGAAAACACAGAAGAACAACGAAAACTGTTAGACATTGAAAAAAATGGATTTTACTTTGTGAATATCATGCAATCAGTTACACATCTGTGTATATCATGCGATCAGTTACAAATCTGTGTATATCATGCGGTCAGTTACACATCTGTGTATATCATGCAATCAGTTACACATCTGTGTATATCATGCGATCAGTTACACATCTGTGTATATCATGCGATCAGTTACACATCTGTGTATATCATGCGATCAGTTACACATCTGTGTATATCATGCGATCAGTTACACATCTATGAATATCATGCGATCAGTTACACATCTGTGTATATCATGCGATCAGTTACACATCTATGTATATCATGCGATCAGTTACACATCTGTGGATATCATCTGTTTATTAGCCTTTTTCAGCCCCCCCCCCCCCCACCGTAACAACTTTGACGGGCTGGCTAAACCTGGAGAGGGTAGCCGACCTGTTTCTTAACCATTCGGTGACTGGGATATGCCTACCCCGTATGCAAAGACTGGACTTGGCGAATTGTGCAATAAAACCTTATATTGGTTCAACGGACAAGAAGGCGATTACCACCAGCAGGCTCCGTGAAGAGCTTCAAGCAAAGCAGGGCACTTAAGACGCCTTGGTCATCCACTGCACCTAGGTCCATTTCCAGTTATCTTGGCATTCTCCTGCCATTGGATCAAGACAGACACAGGCGAGAGAGTGAGGTCGATTAACTGCGCAACTCCCCCTCACTTAAATCCAAGTCCTTGCGCAAGTCACTTTCACCCATCCATCATCTGTTAGGTTTTTAATGAATGATTCATTCATCGTCGTTTCAGATACGTGCGTGAACTTCTAGACAGTCTGGCTGCAGCGGAGATCATCCGTGTGTCCACTAGCGAGTCCGGCTCTCTGATCTACTATCTGGAGGAAGATGAGAAAAAGGCATTCAAGACGCACATTAAAACTCGTATGTCCTTCCCCATAGCCATGGTAAAAGTCTACGACCACCTAAAATCTTGTCTTAGCATAACCGGACCGTATGGTGAGTTGTAGAACTATTCATACAACGGTTGTTGAATGTCTGTGGAAGATAATACATGTATGGAAGTTATTGTTTGTAGGCAGCTCTTCTTCTTTCGGTCCATACTTTGTGACGTTGGTAGTCACGTCTTTACACAACCATCTCTCTAGCGTGCTTTCAGTCATTTCTTACTCTTATAATGCTCTATGCCATAAAGTCAAACTGTTCAGCATTGTTCTCTCTCGATCTACCTGTCTATTTTCTCCTCCAATTTTTCCGCCGTCACGAACTGCTCCAGCATGTACAGACAGGATTATGCGGGTAATCTGAGACTTTCGTGGTCAAATGTTCATTGTTAACAAATGTCTATATTCAATGTTAACAAATGCCTATGTTCAATGTTAAAAAAGTTCTATGTTCAATGTTAACAAAGGTCTATGTTCAATGTTAACAAATGTCTATGTTCAATGTTAACAAAGGTCTATGTTCAATGTTAACAAAGGTCTATGTTCAATGTTAACAAATGTCTATGTTCAATGTTAACAAAGGTCTATGTTCAGTGTAAATTGAGGTCTATGATCGCTGTGAACTAAAGTCTATGTTCACTGTTAACACAGGTCTATGTTCACTGTTAACTAAGGTCTATGTTCACTGTTAACACAGGTCTTTGTTCACTGTTAACTAAGGTCTATGTTCACTGTTAACACAGGTCTATGTTCACTGTTAACTAAGGTCTATGTTCACTGTTAACTAAGGTCTATGTTCACTGTTAACACAGGTCTTTGTTCACTGTTAACTAAGGTCTATGTTCACTGTTAACTAAGGTCTATGTTCACTGTTAACACAGGTCTATGTTCACTGTTAACACGTTTATGTTGTCTCTCCAGTTATGTGTTATAAATGATGACTTATGGGTTATCTTGATGGCGCTCCAGACATGTCCATGTTGTCTCTCTAGGCTACAGGATGTCAGCAGAGTTCCACGATGTGGTCGAGGAGTATGGTCCTATCCAGTTTGAGGTCTATCTAGCAGCTTTCATGAAGTCTGTGGACGGTCTGAAGGCACAGCTTGGTAAATAGACCGGCTTCTGCCACTCTTGTCTTGCAATGTCTTTCTTTTGTTTGGGGTGTGAATAGAGCAACAGTTCGCTACATGTGAAAAGTGAGTTTCTGTCGCAGAAGATTGTAAAACGTAAGTAGAATAATGAGTAGAAAATGGCGGTTAGGATACACATTTAATATACAGGGTATTGAGTGATCTGACCGACAGAAGATGGAAGAAACTAAAAAAATGATGACTAGTAACTGGGAGCTATAATGGGCGAGACAAAAACTGATCTGATTGAAGTAGATGAAAGAAACTACAGAATCATGAGTTAGACAATTTGGGCTATGATACACATGCAACAGATAATAGATATTTTGATCTGAGTACTAAGTAAGAAGATAAAGAGGTCTGGATCGGACAAGGGACAAGATTCAAGTTTAAGTGTTAAAGTCGTTATTCATAAAATTGTTTGTGTTGTCTCTCCATGCATCATAAAGTGTAAGACGGTTTTCCACTTATTGAGACTGTTGCATATATGGTGGTATATATAACAACCGAAGTGAGATTTCTACGAAAGGATAATAATAAGAGATGCGATCAGGAATGATGAAATCCGAAAGGGAATGGAGGTAACGACATCCTTGGATTTTATTATTAGACGACAAGTGCAATTTTTTTTTTCATGTAACACGGATGCCAGCAAACAGTATACCACAGCAAACAGTATACCACAGCAAACAGTATACCACAGCAAACAGTATACCACAGCAAACAGTATACCACAGCAAACAGTATACCACAGCAAACAGTATACCACAGCAAACAGTATACCCCAGCAAACAGTATACCCCAGCAAACAGTATACCCCAGCAAACAGTATACCCCAGCAAACAGTATACCACAGCAAACAGTATACCACAGCAAACAGTATACCACAGCAAACAGTATACCACAGCAAACAGTATACCACAGCAAACAGTATACCACAGCAAACAGTATACCACAGCAAACAGTATACCACAGCAAACAGTATACCACAGCAAACAGTATACCACAGCAAACAGTATACCACAGCAAACAGTATACCACAGCAAACAGTATACCACAGCAACAGTATACCACAGCAAACAGTATACCACAGCAAACAGTATACCACAGCAAACAGTATACCACAGCAAACAGTATACCACAGCAAACAGTATACCACAGCAAACAGTATACCACAGCAAACAGTATACCACAGCAAACAGTATACCACAGCAAACAGTATACCACAGCAAACAGTATACCACAGCAAACAGTATACCACAGCAAACAGTATACCACAGCAAACAGTATACCACAGCAAACTCCTGGGAATCCCCATTTACGAAGCGAAGAAACGGAAGTTTTTCCCAACATTATACTTCACCTCGACACAGCAAGGTACGCGATGATCAAGATGAAATAAATGTATGGTGTCATTCTGCTATTTTTAAAAAAATAGATTACTGCATTTTATTGCAAAATTTGTCAAAATAAGACCGTTACCTTTTATCTCATATCAGTTTCTAATACCTAAATAAACTGGCTACATCTGGAAACACCCCAGAAAATGCTTCTCTATCTAGTCTCTCCGGGAGGAGCTGCGTGGCAACATGTGACCTTTCCAAGTTGACCCGATATCTAAGCTTTGGGGAGACCTAAGGAACATCAGGTTGACACTTTAGTTAATGACTCACAGTTGACTGCATGACAACGCTCGTCAAGATTACTTACTGTCTACTGGAAGAACGGAAAAGTTGACAACCAAGAGATCGCTAAAGAAGAAGACGATGGTCTGGAAATACATACTAATTTAAAAATAAGTCTCCGCCTCTTCAGAATAAAAGAACTGTTACCAAATGCTGGCTTCCACTGGAGAGTCAACTAAAGTAAAGGACCTTACCACACCTTCAGGGGTATTTCGCAAATAGAGCAAGACCCATAATATTTTATAGACCAATCGGGAATTTGTGGGTGATGTGCTCAGCATCACGAGGGCTGCCTGTACCTCCCAGGACTTTACCTTGTACCCATTTAAGACTTTTCGACCTGGGAGCCTAAATAACGTTTGAGAAAAGTTCAATTCTGTACGTCAAAGGAGAGCACTGCATAGACATGTCCATGTCTATATGTGAGGAAGAGATCCCAGGATATTTGAGCCTGGCTTTGCAGTAAAGGACCCTTGTCCACGCTTGAGGCAAATAGCACAAGGGCAATTGTGTAAATTGTGTAGACCAGTGGACATTCGGTGAGCGGGTCAAGTGGTCAACACCACACAGGCCGTCTTTACTTCCAAGGACTTTACCTCGTACCCATTTAAGGCTGCGTCGACCTGGGAGTAAATATCATTTTTGAAAATGTACCACCTCTGTATCCGAGGATAGTGTCTAGCTACTACACCACGGCGGCACCCGTTCTAAAGTAAAAGAGTTAGAATGAAAAGACTACGTTGAACAGGCTACATATGAGCCTGCATAATATGTTTTCATCAACTTTTTCACAGAAAGCGGCATTGACGTCACGGAGGTGGGCTGCGGAAGAGGTCGCATGTTGGCCAAGATAGCACAGATGTTTCCAAGAAGTTCTTTTACAGCCTCGGACAATGTTGAATCCCTGCTGAACTACCAGAAAGCCAACTTGGGCCACATCCCCAACGTTGAATACGACATGCTTGATCTGTGCTGCCCGAGTGGACCCCCCAGCAAGCAGTACGATTGGGTTTACTGTGTCAATGTTATCCACGATGTCCCAGATCCTCTAGAAGCGCTGAAGACCGTCAGAAAACTGACCAAACCTGGGGGAGTTTTCACAATGATTGACTTCGCCACATCGGGCAGCCCCATCGGGGATAAAGGAAACATGTTGGTGGCATGTATGTATGCAGTTGGTACCTTTATGTCCGTGCCCGAGAGCTTCCAGAGAGAAGACAGTCAGGCCATGGGTTGTTGTTGGGGAAAACAGAGGGCGGTAGATCTTGCCACAGCTGCAGGGTTTACAGTGGATGTTGTTTATCTTGAATATCCAGTTGCACTGTTCGTTTGTAAATAAAAAAAATAAAAAAATTCGTAACAGTTTATGTAAGTGTCTGCTTTAAAAAAAACAAACAAATAAAATCTAACTAGCCTGCAGTAGCGACAAGTATACCTCGGCTGGAGAAATGCAACAAATAATCATAGGTACATATGAAAGTAAGATTCCACGCATGATACAGACTGATTGTCACCAACCACACATTGTTGTATAAGACAACGGTACAAGGAAATATCTTCGGAAATAAAGTAAGTCAATATAATATTGATCTCATTACCTATCGATGTCGATTGTTATTTAAAAAAAAAGAGAAATTACTATCTCGTCATCATCGTAAAAACCA